CCATTAATATTCATTGGAATGGTTAGGTGGACCGAAAGCCCTAGCGAATTCAACCAATCGTTACATACTTCAGCATTGTTACTTCTGCTCTTGTTTTCCTGTTTCTGTTTTTTCATTAGTTCTTATTCTCAAATCTGAAATTCGATTGTCCAAATAATTAGGGAAGGCTGTAGTTCTAATACTTGTTTTGTTAAATCCTCGTGTGAACGATATTTTTATACTACTTGATAACTAGTGCACTTGTTAGAGTTATATAATTAAACATTTGAATGGTTGAATTGATACATCTGAATAATGGGCAATAGGTTATACATTTTATCAGTCCAACTAACCAAGATAAGGATAGTTTTCAAAACAATGTTACATACATATTCATACATAATATGTATGTATGTAGGTATATGTGTGTGTATGTATGTATGTATGTAACATTGTTTTGCAAATTGTCCTTGACCTAGTTAGTCATAGGTTATACATTTTGACATTTAAAATTAATGTTTTAGTAAAATTCCATTTAATTCCTAACTTAGGATGATCCTAGGCTCTACAAATATCAACTATAAAATATTAACCATTATTGTTTGCTTGCAAAGAGAAAATAATGGGTAAATTAGCTCCAATAATAATTATTTAATCAATTAAATATTAAATATGACTAATTAATTATTCTTTAATATTTAATTAATAAACATTGTTTTCTATTATTTTCTTTTTTATATTTCAATATTAATGATCAATTAATTAATTAATTGGTTAATTACTAATTAATATTTTTATTAGTTAATAATTTATTTATAAATACTTACTATTAAGTCCTAACTCAAGATGATCCTAGGCTCTACAAACATATTCTTCAAATGTAAAAGCATGATAACTCATTAGACCTGTGCCTTGTGCATCTAATAGGCCTTGACACCTTCTTGCATGCCTCCACTACTCCATATTTAATAATACAAAATGGTTAGTTGAACCAAAAACCACAAATTGGTTTACTTGTTAATTTGGCCATACCTCAAAAACCAAAGAAGATAAAAATCATCAACCAATCCAATCGAAGAATTGTTGAGATGGTACCAGTTTCATAAAACTAACCAGGTATCATTGTTGATTCCTTGTTAGAATTTGGCCTAGATAATGTATATAGTATATATTTAGTGAAATGAACAAAGTTACACTTAGGCCATTACATAAACGACAATGACTTACTAAACAAAGAAATTTAGAGCAAGATGAGGTTGTATTATGAGGCTGTTGTTAGCGGTGAAATGATTGAATCCTATATGACATTTCTAGTTGTTACATTCTAAGGCCATGGGCTATGTCAATTTGGGAAACTATGCAAACCTTCTTTGATATTGAAATAAAGAAGATGAAAGTAAAAAATTGCTATTTCCCTCTTTTTGTATCTCCTGGTGTTCTGCAATGTGAAAAGGATCACATAGAAGGTTTTGCTCCAGAGGTTGCTTGAGTTACAAAGTCTGGAAGTACTGATCTGGATGTCCTTATAGCAATTCGTCCCACAAGTGAGACTGTTACGTATCCATATTATTCCAAGTGGATTAGAGGACACCATGATTTTCCTTTGAAGCTTAACCAATGGTGCAATGTTGTTAGATAGATGTTCAACCATCCTACCCCATTCATAAGAAGTTGTAAGTTTCTTTGGCAAGAAGGGTGTACAACTTTTGCAACCAAGGGTGAAGCTTATGCAGAGGTTCTTGAGATTTTGGAGTTGTACAAAAGGACATATGAAGAATTTCTGGCAATTCTTGTCATAAAGGGCATAAAGAGTGAGCTTGAGAAGTTTGTTGGTGGGCTCTACACAACAAGTGTTGAGACATTTATTCCAAATACTGGTCGTGGCATCTAAGGTGCTACCTCTCATTGTTTCAGTCAAAATTTTGCAAAAATTTTTGAAATAAATTTTGAAAATGAGAAGGGAGAAAAGCAAATGGTCTAGCAGAACTCTTGGGCATATAGTACAAGAATGATTATCCAAATGGTGATCATGTCCTTGGTAGCAATTTACCTTCTCAAACTAGATAAATGTCGACTTCCATTTTCCTTGGATGATAAGACTAGTGACAAGAAAAAATGACTTATAGAAATTTATGCAAATATTTCTCTTTAAGTATTTATATTTTCAGTTTTGTTGAAGGGGAAAAGTATGTCATTTAGATCCTATTTTGCAACTAGGAAACATTAGTCCTAGAAATCAAATAGGGAGCTCTATTTCTCATCATACATCTAGGTATGCCTTTGCTCTAAATGTTATTTATTGCATTAAAGGCCCAAACCTGAAATTCAGCATAATATATGGATATCAATTGATCATATCCATAAAAAAAATAGTAGAAAGAAGAAACCAGGGCTGCTCAACCTAGAAACTCATTCATCCTATAACCAATGTTGATGAGAAGGAAAGGAAGAGAAATTAGAATGTGAAAAGGAAGAAGAGTTGGGAGTCATTGAAATAAGCCAACCAATCCTTCTTTTTTCATTCTTGAGGGTAAAAGAGTTGAACAGAAAAAGTGCCCTTGATACAATTCAACATATAACATTTGTAAGATAGATGATAGGCTTTTGATACACTTGACAACAAATTCAAATCCTCCAAAGCTTGAGGGGTACCATTTTCTTTTTTTGTTGAAGTAGTGATTAATA